ATTGTAACTGACAATTGAATTTCAGTACAAATAGGACGAACAACAACGATGGCAATCGGCCCACATGAAAACGAGACTTGACAGCAAAGATAATACAAGACAAGATGGGCCACTCAGCCTAAAAAGTGTCCGCAGGAAGTATGCTCTTTGCTTCAGATGGCGCTGCAGTCTGTTTTGAAGCTCTCTTTCGTTTTTCCAGAAGAAGAATAGGAATAGCACCTCCTTGCATGCGCAGATCGACTGCTGTTCATCAGCAGTTCGGGTACGTTCAGTGCGGAGTTTTAGGTTTTTTAAAATTTTAATGACCTCTCGCCCTTCATTCTAAAGTCAAATTAAACGAAGAAAACCATCTCCTTTTCCTCCGGAAGAGGTTTTTTGTCAGCGTAACCATTTTTAAAAAGCGTTCTTCCGAAATTTATCCCAAAACTTGCTAGTTTCACTTTGATTTTTTAAAACTCAAGTAGGGTAACTCTGTTCGCAAAGAGTGCGCTTTTGTGAAGAGGGCGCCACCAAATTTTGAGGACACTTTTTTAATTGGCTCAAAGAGAGAAGTGGCCCATCTTGTCTTGTACTATCTTTGTTGACAGTCACTGAAACAAGCACGGATCATAACACAATCGATAAGTACTGGAACGATACGATACTTTATGCAACTTTGGACTACTTTCTTTATATAGCCACTACTTGACCTCTGAACTCAAGCTTTCCGCCTGAGAGTGTCTGAGACACGGGGAGTACATGACGTAGCGAACTTTTGTCACGGAACTGGGCCAGTTACCCCCTCCAGCGAGACGAGTTAGTTTCACTCTAAAATTACATTTTTCGTGAAGTTGAGTTTGGAGTATATAATAATATAGATCAAACAATTCGTGGATTCGCTGTACTTTGCTCACACTTTCGTCTCTCGGTACCACATGCTCATGGTTACACACACGCACACACACACACACACACACACACACATACACACACACACCTACACACACACACACACACACACACACACACACACACACACACACACACACAAACCCCACGCACACAGGACGAGAGACAGAGAAAGAAAGAGGGGGAGGGGGAGAAGAAAGAGCGGGCGGGTGGGTGGGCGTTGGTTACATTGACAGACCTACAGTAGGTTAGAGGTCAGTATTGGTTTTAAAGGCGAAATCCAAAAATGAGCAAAACAGTTCCCTGGCCTATTTTCTGGAGTGCATAAAGGCAGACAGACGAAAATTCAGGTGACCCCAATAGAATGCGCGTGGCCAGATTCACTGGAAGAGCAATACTCCGTATGCCACGCATAAACCCCCCTTTTTTCCATTTGCTTCCTCCCCCATTGCTCCCCTCCCCAAGCCCCCTTTGCACTCCCTATCTGCACACCCCCCAACCTCGTCCACTCCAATAAAACAAAACAGAACACCCCCCCAAAAACAACAACAACACAACAACAACAAGAACAAACTTACACGCTGCGACACCCACGTTATAACACTTAATCGGATTTGATTAATACACATAACATGTATTGTGTTTGTTATTCGACTGTCAAGGCAACGGAGATCATATGGGGGCTCTCGTGGCCTTTAGGTTAAGGTGTTGACCTCTCATTCAAAGGTCCCGGGTTCGAATTCAGGTAGCGACCGAAGCATTTTCTACTCTAAAATTGTCTCCTTTCACCTCCTTTCCTGCTCTCTATCAATGTTCTGTTGTCTGCTTTCATTTCCACTTTCTGTCCCCACCCCCTCACCTCCTTTGCCCCTTCCTCTGTGCTCCTGACTCTTTCTACAGCCTTTCTACTTCTACTCTTTGGCTCCTCCTTATTGCTGTCTTTCTGCCACACCCCTGATCTTCCGGTAGGAAAGATCTACACCTAGCCTTCTCGGACGAGGGCGAAAAATCTCGGAGGGCCCATGTGCAAGTTGCGCTCGTTAAAGATCCCTTGGTGGTCTAAAATCATTAAGAGTAGGCTTCGGCCGCCACCCGGGCAAAATTAAAAATTTTCCTACCAACTGAAAATATTAGGTGTGTCTCGCGCGCTCATATGACCTTATGCAGTTGCGAGCACTGTAAAACCCCCCCCCCCCCCCCCAAAAGGAGATCATCTTACTAATTCTTAGTAT